CTGATTATGAGATTGATGACTGACTTATATGCCTTCATCCAGCATCTGGTGGAAGTAGAAGCAGACACCCATAACTAATCACTGATCTGAACCTGAATGCAGATGCAGAGAAGGACCAGTGAAGAGCACAGAGGTCCAGACCAGACTGGTGAAACCCACAGAAACAGCTGACTTGAACATCCGGGAACTCTTGCTCCCCAGTCTGATAGCTGGAATACCAGCATGGGACTGATCCAGACCCCAGGAACATGGGTTTCTGTGAGGAAACCTCAGAAATCTATGGGACCTCCTGTAGGATCCCAGTATTTATTCCTAGAATAGGTGTGGACTTTGGGAGTCCATTCCATATAGAGGAATACTCCCTGAGCCAAGACACATGGGGGTGGGCCTAGGCCCTACCCCAAAGGATACCATAGACACTGATGACACCCTATGGAAGGCCTCACCATCCAGGGGGAGCAGAAAAGATATGTGTCAGATAAGGTTTTAGCTGGGGGGGGGGGGGCCTCGGGGGGGGGGGGGAGGTGAAAAGATGGAGATGTAAGAGAGAGAGTTGGGTTTTGTGAAGACTTTTTTAAAAAGGTGGGAAAAAAAAAACCTCTATTACATAGTTGAAGGATGTGCCAAAACATCAGGGAATCTATCACTTCTGGTATCTCCCATGTTCGTCTTTAGAATCATCCCAAATTCATGGCCCCAAGGGAGTGCAGTATTTAATAGAAATAAATGGACAGTCCCTTTACAATGAGAATGATCATCCCCTTATTGTTTCTTATGTCTTTATATTTTCCTATAACCTGGCGTGAGGAAAACATTAAAAATACAGATGTGAAAATATACACATAATCTTCTTGCCCTTTTCCTAACCAGTCTTTACAACGCAAGAGACGTAAACAATAACACCATGTTCACAAATGTGTTTATTTCCTGCCTCTGCTGGGCCTGGAATTTAAGCTGGGATGTTAGTCCTTCAGCAGTGTTGCCGTTGCTGTGCAGAGAGAGCAGTAAAAGAGACTTTGATGAACTATGGATCTGTGCAAAAGAAAAAAAAAAAAAACTTTGGTGGTATTTGTATATGACTGTTATGTTTCTGTCCAGTTTTTTGTTAAATGGAACTGAACTAGTGCCTTCAAATTAGTTGTCTGTTCTTTAAAATCTGCAGGTTCCCTTATGAATCTGCATCTCAGTACACTGGTTCTGGTGCCTTTGAGCCTATGCTGTGGGACCAATCTTGAAAATACAGTCACTGACTTTCCAAGTTCAACAGATGTCGGTTGGTGTGCCTACTTGTGCCAAACACTGGGATTGAGCTCCCCAGGAAGGTACAGAAAGGTGTAAGAAGTGCCTTCTCTTGGGGCTTCTGTAATCTACCACTGCCACAGTGAATAGGGATTTTAGTCACAAAAATAAAGCATCATTCATAAATCAAAAGGCCTCATGCTAGGATCTTCGATCACTGTTATGGGCAGGGTCCAAGATAATTATCTTTATACAGAGTTCTATAGTGGGAAATTACCAATACGGAGTCAGGTAGAAATATAAGGGTATTTAATAGGGAAAAGCCTTACTTACAGAGCAACCTAGCCAGCCAGCACTGCATCAGTCTGTCCAGCAAGTACAAAAGTGAAACCGAAAGAGAAACGCAGTCCCCTGAAAGCTACACTCTACGTCACCCTGACCACGCCCTCGCAAGTGTGGTCAGGCACACCTGTAGCCAGCCCCTAAGTAGGCATGGCTACACAGTGTAAAGTATCCAAAATT